TCCTTATGACATTTTGAATTGCTTATAACTTTTCAACCAAATTGCCGTTTTTGATTTTTTTTCCTACATATTTTAATTTAAGTTGCCAAGATAATTAAAACAAGACCAATCTGTGATATATTTTAAATGAGTTTAAAAATCATGAAACATATTTAACTCATTTCCAAAAGAAACAGATTCCACTCATTTCTTACAAACCGAGAATGTGGAATATATCAAAACACTGATCTCACTCATTTCGGAACGCTGATTGCACCCAATTAAAATAAATAATTTCTATTATTTTCAAAAAGAACAATTTCACTCATTTCAAACAAGGGAATTCAATAATTTTTAAATCGATGATTTTAGTTAATTCAAAACACTGATTCCACTCAACTCAAAAAACAATTTCACTTATTTCAAATATCTGATTTCACTTATTTCACACGATTCAAGAAAAGGTTTCCATTCACTCGTTTAAAAAATGATTTGCTCTTTTCAAAACGCCGATTTCACTCATCTAACAAGATTTTTTCCACTCTCATTTTAGATAGCAGATTTAACTCATTTAGAAAAATTCACTCTTCTGTAAAAACTGATTTCATTAAAATAAACTTCCGCTCCTTTTCAAACACAGGTTTAGCTCGTTTCAAAATAATAATTTTACTAAAAATGAAAAACAGATTTCACTCATTGGTCTTGTTCTAAGCAGTTGCCAACACTGAAATAGATTAAGTGGGCTAATTGAATTGAAATGTTGAAATTTAAACATGTTTATATCTAAGCTTGATCTTATTGTAAAGGTCTTGGCCCCAGGCGTTCAAATATAAGAAGAAATAAAACATGAAATTGAAGTTTATAAGATATGCATAATTGAAATTGTCCCAGAGAAAACAATATGCATGTGTGCCTTATACCTACTTATGTGTAAAAAAAAATGGCCATGCATGCATGCATGTGTCCTTTATGTGACACATGGCGAGTCTTAATACACTACATGTAAATCTGGAGAAAGGAGTGGAATACCCCTACCGTATATGAAATTATGGATACTTGACCGTGATGTCATGTCTCATATCCAAAACAATAAGGTATGCATCAAAGGTGTTCCCTGGCGATAGCCACGTCGGCACAGGTACTTCGCAGTTGAATCAAGAGCACGAGAGATATTTTTGGTAAATCGAGAGCGAGGCGGCCGCCCAATCGCGTCATGCGCTGCGCGGCCAGCTGGAGGCCGGTGGTTGGTTCTTCGCGTGCTGGGCGCGCGATTTCAGCGGGTGCGGGTGCGACCTCCCTCTGTCTCGACCTGGCGGTGTGAGCGTGGGCACGGGCCCCTAGATAACACCTCCACCGGGTAAACATTTCTTGCCTTCTCCACGAAGCGAACCTGCCCCCGCGGCTCGTCCTCCACATTTTCTCATCTGGTACAGAAAGGAGATGAAGCGCCGACGAAGGAGAGAGGGAGGTGGCGCGGGCGTGCTCACTGCAGCAGGGGAGCGCCCATCTGTTGGAGGGCCGCCGCCGTCTTTCCCCTTCCTCGTGTCGTCTCCCCTACCCGTCTTCCAGAGGCTTTCAGTAGGAGATCCACGAATCGCTCGCGCAGTCGCTACCCTCTGCTTCTTCCTCACACCTGATGCAGGGCGGTTTGCGGGAGAAGGTGAGCATGAGGAGAAGCAGGGTGGCCTCACCGGAAGAGAGCGCCTATGGCTGCGGATGACTCCATGTCCACGGCCGAGAACGTTGCTCGAGCCTCCCGCCTCCTTGACAACGGGATCCACGTCCTCAAGGCAAGCCGCGCCCTCCCAAACTTAGAGCATCTCCAGTAGGTGCACAAAAATTTCGCGCCCTAAAATAGTTTTAGCGCGTCATTGTAGCACTTTTAGTGTGCCGGACCCAATATTGCTTTAGCAAAAGCCCAAAAGCGCGCCTAAAAAGAACACAATGTAAATTATGAAGCGCGCCCAATCCAGAGCCCAAAATATGCTGCGCGATAGCGCTTTTCAGCGCGCGCCCAAAAACTTTTAGCGCTACAGCTTCTGCTGAAGCTATTCGGCGCCAAAAAAAACGATTTTTTAGTGCGCGGAGCTCTTTTTGAGCGCCAGTTGGAGATGCTCTTAGACCCCCTTTTCCCACCCGCATCCTCGTCGTCAACCTTGCCAACACGGCAGGTCGCCGCTGCTGGCCGAGGTCGCCCAGGTGGACACCGCCCCAGCCTGCCTGCAATTCATCCTGCCTCAGCTCAGGGTACGTATGGTCGCCTGCTGCCCCCTTGTCGATCTCGAAATGTGTTGATTTCATTGGGTGATACGGTTCGGTGCCTACAAGGTGATGCGTCGTGGTGCTGCTCGCAGCAACCTTCGAGGAGCACCTGCAGTCAAGCGTGCTGGGCGGGGTGTGGTCTACCTGCCTCGTGCAGACGCTCGTCATGATGGAGCGCCCGCTGCTTCTGCCGGCCGGACCGCGAGAGGGTCGCCGCCAGTTGGACTACAGCTACCACCAAAGTGTAAGTCGGCCGTTTCTTGGTCCCTTCTCTTCCCTTTTTTTGGTCAGGAATATTTGCAAATCAGGCGGCTTCTGAAACGTATACTATGTATTCAGGGAGTACCAACGTTAGACTTTGCTGCTGCTGCATGTCCCATGTTAGTCTAGGCATTAAAGAAGCCTATTCAGAATATTGGCTTAAGTCATGGGATATGGCTGCTGGGGTTCTGCTAATCCTTTTTAGTTTTCCTCAAAATGTACTGCATTTTTGTTTGGATAATGTTTTTTCATGTTCATGATAGTTTATATATACCGTGCTTCTCATAAGTTGGGTGACTTTTTTATCGAGGTAATCTTGGTAACATTGAGTGGGTTTCAACCAATTTCTGGAAGCAATTGATTTCATTTTCTGTAATCAAATATAGAATTTGCATAGTAAAAGGTATCAAAGTGATGCATATATTCTGAAAATATATCTATCTAGCATGGTCTTAGTTTAAGTTAGATAAATTTCTGTTCATTGATCCTGACTATGATGGCTTTGTTTTTTTGTTCTGCTGTAAGCAATTCTTTATGTATGGAGTTTTTCAGTATGACTACTTGATGATTTTGGTTATTTTTCAACAGATAGCTGAAGTTGATTAGGTAATTTGGCAATTCCATTGCCAAAACTGTAGCATGCAATGGTGAGCCATATATGTTTGCTTACAGTGTCTAATATTGATTTTATGCATCGTTCAGTTGTTCAAAAGAGTATAAGACAGGTGTCATACCTACAGAACTGGAATGCACCATGAAATAACATTGAATAGTCAACCATATGGTTCAACTGAACACATGTTTATTAATTCGATAGTAATTATATATAGTTCTCATTTGTTTTTTGGTATTTCAAAGAATACTCAAGTCCTATGCAGCAAAATTACATGCCAGGTTGCCAAAAGGTGGTACTAGCATTGTTGCAGCTCCTACTGGTACAGACGGGCAGAGGGTATATGACAGTCACCATTGCACCAGTTGCTTTCCTATCACCTGTTTTTCTCATCTGGTAACATCATTTTATGTCATGTGGGTACTACTGCAGACCTATGACAGGGATGCGGAAATTATATGTTACATTTTTAATACTGCATAGTATTTGCGAAGTCCAAGCTTAGCTTGCTGTTTGTATGTGAAAACAATACTCCTTGGATTTGCTCGAACGATTGTACCTATATCTTGCCTTTAGAATTTTCTTCAAATCCACTCGGTTTATTTTCATCTCCAATTTGATTAGTTGTTTGCATACCAAGAACCAAGTTTTACGGTCTTCATATTCCTGATTTAGTAGTACATTTGATTTGTAGTTTCTTCGTATATATATATATATATATATATATATATATATAATAAATAAGAGGCAGATAGACCAACTTGTTATCTTGCCTTGCTTCGCTGAAAACATTAAAGTTTCAGCACATGGCCGGACCTTACCTGTGGCTGTGTTTCTAGCTTGCTTGATATGAGTTACTAACAAATCCTGATTGTGTGAACCGCTGCTTTATAGCTTATTGTTACTCGCATAAGTTAAATCTGCTTTTAGCTCTAATGGATCTGTAGCGATGATCGCTACTTCTTCTGCACCGATTGTGAGTCGACGATTACACGGATGAGCAGCTGCTTGAGCATGCAGTGATGATGGTGAGCATCGGCTCGATGGAGGTCGCGGAGGCGATGAGGATGCTAGGGTCGACGGGAAGGTGGGCAAATTCATCGCAAAGTTCTATGTGCTGATGAAGCTGAAGCGGCAAGTCTCGTGGCTGCAACAACGACTTGATGAAGAGCATCTGGATCTGGTAGATACATCGTGTTGAAATTGCTTTTTTTATTTATTTTTTGCTGAGAATGATTCACTTTGGACAAGCCATCATGTGTAATGTATCTTCTAACCATGTACTACCTCCGTCTAGGTGAATAAGTCATTTGCGTAGTCCTAGGTCATCGATTTGAGCAAATATGCCATGAAAAGTATATCACTAGATTTCTACAAGGATGTAGTTTCTAAATATATATTTTTTGTCACATATAATACATATTTAGATAGTTAAATCGTCAACCTAGAACTATGCGAATGACTTATTCACCGAGACGGAGGTAGTATATAAGTTGGTGCCACTCCCCTAATTAAGTTTAATCTCTAATGGATTAGGTATGCATTATTGTACTCATTCAGCTATATGCTGGTTTTACATGCATGTGTGCTATCAGTCAGAGCTAAGTCAATGGAAGGGACGCTGCTTACCTGGCAACGCAGAAGCCCCAACCACTAGTGCTCATCATCAGCAGCCCCAACGCAGCAGCCCCAACCACACTAGTGGTTGCCACTGATATATGCAATCATACTTCACACGCTAGCTAGTTGCCGGTAGGTATCGGACCCGTTTAGATGTGTCTTTCCGTTAATTTAACGCCCACACACAAAGTCACAAATATAGGAACGGAAAACGATTATGAAATTACATACCAGAACGGCTGCCTTGACACCGTCGCCAGTAATGGGGACCTCAAGGGTGGGGTCATCGGCGAGCTGTAGCAGCAGGTCGACCATGTCCATGGGGACGAACGCCTTGCCCTCTTGCAGCCGCCGCTCGTTGTGCTCGCGCAGCACGTGCTCGATGAATCGGTCGAACATCTTGCTCAGCCTCTTCATCCTGCCCACGTACCCTTGCGGGTCTAGCCAGCTAAGCCACGGGATCATGTCCCCGATATGAGGCGCGCCGTTGAGGAAGAAGATCTCCTCGATCATCCACCTGAACTCCTCCGGCTTCGCCGCCGAGGCCGAGCTAGCCCCTTCGCCGACGTACTTCCTGCCAAGCACCATGCGCGAGATGACGTTGAGGGTCACCATGAGGAGGTGGTCCTTGAGCACCACCGTGCGCCCGGTGGAGGTGCTCGGGTGCAGGTCGCGCAGCATGGCGCGCACCTCCTCGCCACGGATGTGCTCCGTCAGCCTGAGCTGCCTCGCGCTAAGAAGCTCCGTCAGCCATAGCTTGCGTAGCTGGCGCCAGTATGGACCGTAGTGTGACCAGAGCATGCCGGAGAAGTTGTACACGGTGTACTTGCCGCAGGCCATCCGGGGCCGGTCGAGGAACGCCAGGTCGTGTGTCCTCAGGATGAACTCGGCCGCCTCAAGGGAGGAGCCGACGACGATGGGGAAGGAACCAAACCGGAGGGACATGAGCGGGCCATACCGCGCCGAGAGCGCGTGGATGGAGTGGTGTGGCAGGGGGCCTATGAGGTTAAGATTGCCGATCACCGGCCATGGCCGAGGCCCGGGCGGGATGTTGTACTTGCGCGCTTGCTGCCGGTGGCGAAGGAGAACGGCGGCCACGAGGAAGAGGGCGGTGGCCAGCAGGACCGCGAGGGAGGGCGCCCATGGTACCTCCATTGAAGCCTCTGCAAACTTGGTTGTGCAAGAACTGATGAAGACGAACGTGGCAACTTGGAAGGGATAATGAGCGAACGGTCCTTAAGGCAAAGCGAGTGCGGCCAGGAAGCACTGCAACAGCACGCGCGTTGAGATCAATAATTGTGGGCAAAAATACTACCCACCAAACAATAAATAAAGGACATCGATAACGCCCACCGTGTGGACGCTGAGGGATCTGGCCACACGTTTTGTGTGGTGCCTAAGAGGAGACGTGTGGACAAAAATAATTAGCGTCCACACGCCTTTTTTTTCTCGCGGTGCCTCTCACACGCCTACGTGTGGGCAAAATGGATAACGTTCATACGATCTCTCTCAACCACCTACCTCATAGTCCCGCACGTCCCGCGTGACGGTTACCACGCGTTCCCGCAGTTGCTATGGTCTAGACCCTCTTCAATGTCCGTTTAACCGCAGTTGTCGTGGTTGCTCAACTGCAGTTGCCATCTCAGGTCAAGTGCCAGATGCCATTTTGGACAACTGCAGCTGTTGTCATGTATCGTCTGGTTTACTATAGTTGCCATGATTTGAAAACTTTAGGGGTTGCCACCTACTAACACTAGGCAGTTGCCGTGTATGATATGGTTTACTACATTTGCCATGATTTGAAAATCTTAGGAGTTGCCACCTACTAACACTAGGCAGTTGCCGTGTAGCACTACAAAGAGACATGGCAAAATAACATGTTTCGGGTAAAGAGAGAGTTGCCATCTGCTTACAAGCACACTAGGGCAGTTGCTGTATACCCTGCAAAACACATGGCAACTGACATGTTCGAATAAAAAAAGAGTTGTCATCTTCTTACAAGCACACTAGGGTAGTTGACATGTATACTGCAAAACACATGGCAACTGGCAGCTTTGGATGTGGGAGAGGAGACGGGCGTGTGGGCGAGATGGCAAATGCCCACACACCAGCCCTTGTGCGTGAGTGAAAACAAACATGTGGGCGAACTGCTAAACGCCCACACATCGGTCCTCCCGTGTGGTGAAACGGACGTGTGGATGAATGCCCACACACCAGCCCAGTCCTATGTGGCACCACAAATATGCCAAGATTCGTGCAACCACAAACGGACGTGGATCCACGCGTGTGGGCGAGATGCAAGCGCACACACGTGTGGGCGTTAGTATTTCCATAAACAAATAAGATGGCGGCTGCTACAAATCACCAGGAAATCAGCCGGGTCACGCGCCGTTCGATTCATCCCCTGACAGTCGTTGGATCAGGTCAGCGCACTAGTAGAAAAAGTCCCATTTGTCCCGATTCATAAGTCTCATTTGTCCCGGTTCACAAACCGGGACTAAAGGATCAATACTAAATCCCCCCCCCCCTCTCTTAGTCTCAGTTGTGTCACGATTCGGGACTAAAGGCCCTTCACGTGGCCGCTCTCTGGAGCTCCACCTTTAGTCCGGACTAAAGGATTTTTTTAAAAAATTTCTTTTTCTGAATATTTTTGGAATTTTTTTTGAATATTTTTTGATTTTTTTTCTTATTTTCAAATTTCTAAATTATTTGACAATTCAATCTCTAATAACCCACTCTAATCACTCCTCATTCCAAATCTTCTAACTTCCCAGCCGGTCACCCATCCTCTCACTACTCCAGCCTTAGCACGCTTAACTTTCGTGTTCTATTCTTCCTAGTTTTCAAGTCTGCACTTGTTGTTTTCCTAACAATACTAAGATGTTAATCCTATTAACCCTTAAGAGTTGAACTTGAGCATTAAGCATTGTTTGAGTTTGAAACTATTATTCTAAAAAAGCAATAATTATTTATTAACACTAATATTTCTTGAATAAGTAGTTTGACCATAGTTTGACCACAGTTTGACCAGATTTGAAAATAGTTTGACCACGGTTTGATCAGATTTGACCATAGTTTAACCAAAAGTCAAAAAAACTAACAGTAATTATTTATTAACACTAATATTTCTTAAATAAGTAGTTTGACCATAGTTTGACCACAGTTTGACCAGATTTGACCACAGTTTGACCAAAAGTCAAAACATGAAAATAATTATTTATTAACACTAATATTTATTGAATAAGTAGTTTGACCATAGTTTGACCACAGTTTGACCAGATTTAACAAGAATTCAAAAAACTAAAATTTGAGCATATCTTTTTTTTCCTTTCAGAATTTGAGGATTCTAAAAGTTTGCAAACAGGCCTACAGCAGTCAAAATCGGATGCGGATTTTTGTGCTGATTTTTTTGATATATTATGCGGGTTTTTTCGACATCATGTGCAAAAGATATGGCCGCTTTACTTTTTCATAACACTTTTTTGCAAAACATGTCCAAATTTAATTATTTTTTTAATTTTCCTAACTAGTAGATGTAGTAACATAACTACATCTCGAAGGATTTTAATTTTTGAAGTTTCTATCACTTTCTTTTGTTTTTTACAAAACTGAAAAGGCAATACACCAGGGGGCGGTAGAGTGTGAACCTTTAGTCCCGGTTTGAGTCTCAAACCACCTTTAGTCTCGGTTTGAGAAATGAACCGGGACTAAAGGGCATCGCACCCTTTAGTCCCGGTCCGTGTCTCAAACCGGGACTAAAGGTCCCATTTGAACTGGGACTAATGCCTTCCCGATGCCTTAGCCGCTCGAACCGGGACTAATGCTCACATTAGTCCCGGTTCGTGATCCAACCAAGACTAATGTGTACATTAAGCGGTGACCAAAGCCCTGTTTTCTACTAGTGACGCGAGCAACGACAGTGTCGCTGTAGGAACGCAATGCCATTGTAGGGACGCAGCGCCGCATGCTCGAGGCAGGAGCGCTCCCCTCCCATGCCGTCAATGAAGCTGCACTGCAGCGTAGGTGAAGTTTCATTGCAGCTCAAAGCCGCCGGCGAAGCTCCACTGCAGCCACCAACCCCACTGCCTCGCAGCTCATGACTACCGGTGAAGCTCCATTGTAGCACCGCCCCGTTGCATCACCGCTCCGGGCTCGCCGATGAAGCTCCATTGCAGCACCGCCCCGCTGCATCACAGCTCCGCGCTCACCGGTGAAGCTCCAGTGTAGCGTTGATGAAGTTTCATTGCAGCCGGCGCCAGCGCCAGCGATGCTACACTGCATCGCCTGCCCCGCTGCATCACAGCTCGAGGCAGCCGGTGAAGCTCCATTGCAGCCACCGGCGAAGCTCCATTGTAGCATCGTCCTCTGCATCACAGCTCCCGGGCTCACCGGTGAAGCTTTCACCGGCGTCGGTGAAGCTTCGTTGCAGCTCCGCGTACTCAAGCTCCGGGCGCCGCTGGTGAAAGCTTCCTTGCAGGACCGAGCTCCAGGACTCCGCACGGGCGCAGTATCGCAGCACCGCCACGCGCATGCAGCGGCGATGCCTGATGCGACGGAGTACTGCGATGAAGCTCGCGGCTGTCGACTTTGGATGCTGCGACGGAGCTGCTACGGCGGAGATGTAGCAGACAGTTGTCGTCGTCGTCCTCCGCTTCAAAGCGGCGATGGGGTGGGGCGTCGCAATAGGAGCTTTCCTCTCCCGGCGTGAGGATCGGAGTGGAAGGGAAAAAGGAATGGATGAGAGCTGCCCGTGCGAAACGCTAAGATAAGGTTTGAGAGCAAGTACAATAAGGTGATGTAGGCGGGTTGTAAGACATTAAATATTATATTCTTGCTTACTTGGAAGAGAGTGAAGAGGAGAGAGAAGAGAAGCGGGCCACTAGTTAACAGCCGGCTGCAGCACGTGCTCCTAGGTACTTTGTGAGAGAGTGAGGTGGGCCATGTATCAACAAAGTAATACATATTTATATCTAGCTATTGTACTTGTTAGCTATAAACTTGACTATATGTAACATGGCAACATTATATAGCCAGCAGCTGGCTATATTATTAACCATGCTCTAACAGGAGAAAAGCGGTGGTGGGTCCACAAGGCACGTGTCCATCGCGGGACGCGGCTTGCATTCGGCAGTTTTCATCCGGCTTATAATAAACGTTTTCCAATAAATAAATAAATAAATAAGAGGATACGATACTTAGCCCGTATTGAGCTGCAATAATATGCAGCGCTAGCTAATTGTCTATGCATTGCAAATAAGATTTTTGATGCCCTGCTTTAAATTGGCCACTTAAAACGGCGGCAGAGATGGTTTCCCTGGTCGATTCTACCAACACATAATGGGGCAATTCTGAAAGCGAAGATTATTGAAGTGGTGTTGAATTTTTTTAATATGGGAGTTATGCTAGATAGGATTAATGACACGGCTATTATTCTAAGGAAAAGGTTTAAAAACAGCCAGAATATTTTGTGTCGTGTCAACGGCGCGCTATGAGCGCCACACGTCCTATTGGGGCATGCTCGCTGGGCAGTGTTATCTTCTTAGAGCATCTTCAACCGCCGCGCTATATAAGCACCGTGCCGCAAATTAGTGGTTTTTACCGTGCGCCCAGTCAGTAAACTAGCTCCAGCGGAGGCGCAATAACCGCGATGCCATTTTGCTCCGAGCGCTGAACCACTTATTCCGCGCGCGCGGTTTTCGCGCCTTCGCTGGAGTGCCCGGAGCGGCTGCACGCGCGCAAAAAAACACAAATTTTCCAACGCGGCGCTTATATAGCGCGGCTATTGGAGATGCTCTAACCCTGACGTGTATATTCTTCCTGTTTCATCCGTTTCTAAATATAAGTCTATTTTAGAGATTTGAATATGGATTACATACGGATGAATATAAGCGTATTTTAGAATGTAAATTCATTTATTTTACTCCGTATGTAGTCCATATTAGAAGGCGAGTACTAGACGCCGGCGTGCCGGCCCAAATTTAGGACGGACGTTCCGTGCTAGTCCGATGCGCTGCGTTCTAGCCGTCAGATCAGGGTGTGCTTTGTCCTCAAGCGCGCTCTTCTCTTTGGCTTTTGACGCCAGCGCAATGCGGGACCAAAACGAGACGACCGGCCTCCGGAGCTCACTAGACCATCGCTACTTGTCGGATCGCCGT